AAAATAGTTGAAATGATGATGTTAATATTTGTGGGACTTTTGCTTATAAGCTGATCACCATCTAAAATACAACCCACCAGATACAACAAAGAAAAAAAGTATTTTTTGTAGATGTGTCAATACACCAGGACAGCAGGATCAAGAAAAGAATTCAAATAAAATAAGATATAGAAAGGTAATTATCAATATAGGTAGATTATTACAAAAACATTCATTTATGTATTGATGTATTAGGTGGAATATGAGCAGATTAAATATTTATTGGTATTCAATATCTCACCTGTATATTGTGCTTTCCCACTTTTGGTCATTTTATAATTACATTATATGGATAAATCCTAGCTTCCTGACTGGCATCTGAATTTACAAAAATACCTGTCAAAAATGTGATCATTTTTATTTTTTGTACTGTTATTCCTTGATTATGAAATAATTATATTTATAAACCCTTAATATCATCAAGCAAAGAAGTCTGCCTAACCCAGGTCCTTGGAAAGGACTGAACAGATGGATGAATATGCCAAATCCAACCTAAACATCTGTCTGATTGTGTGAACAACCATAATAAGAAAAGACAAACAATTCAATGTGGAAATTTTATATATTTTGTGGTAGCAGTTTTTTGTGTGGCCTGCAATATGATCATTTCATTATTATTTTTTTGAGTAACAAGATTAAATTGAAAGTGGATTTTTTTGCAGTCTATGTTGCTTGTCCAAATATATTCTGGTACTGTATAAAATTATTTCAGGCATTGTTAGGCTTCTTATGGACCAAAGCTGGTACTAGAGGTTTTCACAGACAGAGATTCAAGGACATCGTTTCTGATAATCTAGTTTTATTACAGACACTAGAAATATAGTTGATGGAGAACTTCAATTATTGGAAAATGTAAAATGCAGAACATATATAGCAAAAGCAAGGTTTAAATCACACTTTTATTTTCTGGATCTGTGACCCTCTCACTTGGGGGCAAGTGAAGCTATGGAACTTATGCATTGGGGTAGTAACAGTGAAGTCTAGTCTCAGGATCATTGATTCTGACTATCTGATGCAGTCCTTGCAACAGGAATGTTGGCATTTTATGACCCAGAATAATAGTTTTCCTCAGTGGGTTTCCCCCCCCCCTTATAATATTCAATTTCTATGAGGAGTGCATAGTTACTATCCAGTTGAACATCTCTGTATAACAATTGACTGAGAGAGGTCACCTGAGAACAGGGACTGACATCCAAGAAGCCAAGCATAGATTGGGATTATGCTTCTTCATAACCAGTTAGTATTAATTTTATGATTTGGATCATAATAATATTGTATCAGGAGTTTTCCAAAATAATAAAATTTATGATTGGTAGTATCCTATTAATTAGCTTTATTTACAGGTGATATGTAGAGCAGCTGCACTGGATTTCAATTTCCTTAAATATTAGATAGATAATCATCCTGATCCAAGAAGAACATGGTTGGTTGTTCAGATGTGGACCACACATTTAGACCTACACCTGTGTAGGCAGAAGTATAAGCAGAGAGAAGGAGAACCCACTTCATTTATAATCTAGATATCTGTGCTAGGTGCATCTGTAAAAAACCATAGGCATCTCATAGAATTACAAGAGTGTAGTGTGTATATTGAGACAAATTAGGCAACTTGTGTCAGTTGCACACACAACTGTAGCAAATTATAAAACTTACTGCATGCATCATGCTGTCAGTTATGTATCACATACTGCCCCTTGTAAACTTCCATGGTATAAACTATGTGTAGGTCTCTCTGCTCATTGACATTATGAATTATTTGTGAGCAAGGAGGAAGATATTTTTTAAAAGAAAATTCTATCCAGCAAATAAGGAACTAATAGAGATCCAAAAAAAGAACAGTGGCAAGAGCTCTTTGGATGACTGACTTTATTGTTGAATTGCTCTTCCTTTTCATTTGATTTAATTATGTGCTATCAAATAATTGTCTAATCTTAGCAATGACAGAAAGAATTTTCTCTGTGACAATATGGCTCTAACCTGATCTTTGAAGTCTTTTTATGGGACACCTTCTGCCATTATAACTGACTCCATCCTCCTCGTTGCTGGTCATCTTCTTCCCTTTCCATCCATCTTTCTCAGCATTAGAGTATTTTCTAGGGATCTCGGTCTTTGCATAATATGTAGGATAATTTAATCCTTGTCATTTGTGCCTTGAGTGAGAACTCTAGTTTGATTTGTTTGATCATCATTTTTTTGAGGGGCCCTTGGTGCTCTCTGAGCTCGGTTATTCTCCTGCACATGGTTCATTATTCAAACTAGGTAATATCATCAGATCATTTCTTCTCTTGGCTGTCCATGGCTTTCTGAGGAGTCTTCTCCAGCACCAAATTCAAAAGAGCCAATACACTTTTTATCTGCTGCTTCAGATTCCAACTTTCATTTCCACAGAGAGAAATACCTATGTGGGTCACAGGGAATACCATTCATGATTGTGATCTTTGTAGGTATAGACCAGGGGTTTATGAGGAGTTGAAGTCCACAAGTCTTAAAGTTACCAAGGTTGGAGACCCCTGGTATAGACGCTTCATGAGATTTGAATATCTTTTCCAAGGCTTTCACATCTATCAAGTGTTAGTTTGAGGCATATTTCTTTATCGCTTCTTCCTTTTTCTGCTTATGGTTGGCCATAAAGGTGCCACCATTTCAGTGTCTTCCGTCAGTTCTTAACCTGTTTATTTCATGTCCTCTAATTCAGAATAGCAGAGGAGATACTTTTTCAAATACCTTTTCTTGTCACGGCTTAACCATGCTCTGCTTTTACAATCCTTCTGCATGAGTTTTTGTTGATCGTTTGATCGTATTGCTTGTCCTTCTCTGAACTTGCTCTAATTTGTCTGAATTCCTTCCCAAAACTAATCACCCAGAAATGGAGACAATATATCTGAAAGTGTAACCCACTGATGAAGATTTGGGTTCTATTCCTCCATGGTGTAATGGAAAGAATAATTATAGAAAAGTAGAATGGATGAATGTTAGGGAGGAAAAAAAAAAACCTCTTTCTAATTTTAAGAGAGAATTACTGAAAGGATTGGGGTGAAGGATGTTTCATCTTCTGTAACACTTGTTCTAAAAATAGTTACTTCTCCAACTATCTTTATGGCCAGGAAGCAGAAATCTTTCACCCACGGCCCAGCTGATGATTTATCATGTAGGCCTACAGGAAAATGGATGAGCTGTCTGAGTTCTCCATAGTGGGCATTAGATATATATAGGAACTGAACGGCTTCTAAATTTGGGGCCAGGCTAATAACTATTTGCCTTTAAGCAAGCTCTAAAAACTTGGTCCTTTCCCCAGGCCTTGGAACCTGGGGCATTTGAAGGGAATGTTTGTTTATTCCCCCGGAGTCACTGTTTTGCTTTTTATATAGTGTTGCTCTCCTTTTGTTTTCTCTTAATCTTGAAGCTGCCCAGAGTTGTTTTGAAATTGGGCAACCTAGAATAGATAACAAATACATGAACGCACACTTACCAATATAAACTACCATGTTACCAAAACAAACACTGGCGAGATTCTTTCTCCTTAAATTCTCCGTAATGGAATTCCATTACGGAATTATCATCCCATTTTTTCTTGATATCTTTTTTTGGAGATTTGGAGAGTACAAGGCCTTAAATCTGCAAATCGATGCTTTTGGTTATGGCACTACAAACAGAGTGCCACAGAGAGAAAGATCACCCTGAAGCCTCTTCCTTTCCCAGTTCTGGCTGATCTATGCCCATTCTCTGGGAAGTCAGTGTGAACAATGATGGAAGCTTTGCAAACTTGGTGGTGTACTGGTGTAGAGCCATGGAGGGCACTGCATTTCTTGTGTTGCTGTTTAGAACCACTAGCCAAGGCAGCTGCAATCTGTTGGAGTGGCTGGTTGGTTGCCAAGAGAACATATCTTTTCATTTAGGATCTCCTGCATCCTGGGCATTGATTAACTATTTGATTGCATCATATATTTTTGTTGCAGTGATGTAGCAAATACAGATAACACAGGCCTCACTGGAACTTCTGTAAGTAAACACTCAAAACTGATTAACATAGTTTATGTAATATTCCTTAAATACCTTGTGTCACCTTTTGTATTTCCATTAAGTAGTTTCTCTCCACAATCTTCCAGTGCAGGGGGGAAAAAAGCAATGCTAATTTGTCATGTGCGTCCAAAAGCAACACATGCTAACACATTCCGCCAGTCAATGCATTTAATTAAGGAACGGATATGGTTGAGATATTTTGGTTAACGCAAGTTATAGTCAAGATCAATTAGACTAATTTTACTCTCTTGCCCCCAATTTATAGGAGAAAAGGGAATTCCCTTATCCCACCGTAGCAATGCTGGGCATGAAATTAGGCGTGATAACCTACTTTAGGTCAGAGGTACGTGATCTTGTGCGGAGGACATTTGAACTTGTGACTTTGAAACCTCATGCGCTACTGCGACATTGGTGTCTGCTGTCATGGGAACTACATCCCTGGTTTATTTTATTTTATTTTATTTTTAAAAAGCCTTTATTTTATTTTTTCTGTGAAATTTGGCCTAGGGCAAGAGAAGGAAGAAATCCTACAACTATTGGGAAGGAAGGATTCATCTCTTTTTAGGGGGAGGGAAGAGAGTTCTTTTCTTCCTGGCCTCGCCATCCATTTTCACCCAGTCGTCTGGTCCTTCTTGTCATTTCTCTCCCCGCGACATCCCCCTCGCCCTCGCTCAGCTCTCCAGGGATGTTTGTCTGCACGTGTGGGGTGTGTGTGTGTATTTGCCTCTGTGGGCGGGTTGGGTTGCAATCCTGCCGCATCCTAGCCGCCCTTTGCTCTCCCCGCGTACGTATCTATGTATGTCTCCCACGTAGGAAAAGAGCCAGACCCAGAGGGGGGGAGTCTGTCTGCCAGCCAAGTGCTGCTCCCTGGTGCTCAGAGGCTGCTCCATCTCCAACTCCTCTCTCTCTCTTTCTCTCTCTCATTCATTTAGCCGGCTAACATGAGAGATCATGGCCGCCTTCGGGCTCCTCAGCTATGAGCAGAGACCTCTCAAACGGTCCCGTTTGGGGCCGCCCGACGTCTATCCTCAAGACCCCAAGCAGAAGGAGGTAAGCCCGGGGCTTCGATCACTCCGTCCGCGCACACACCTGGTCCGGGGGAGAAGTTTGACCGGCGACCCCCTGAAAGGGGGAAGGGAAGGGAAGGCAGGCTAAGGCGGGTTGCGGGGGGGAGGGCGGGGAGAGAAGGCGCCTGCCAGCCTCAGAGCGGAGCTCCTCGCAAGGCTGTTGCGGACCCTGAGAGATTTCGTAGCGTTGAGTTATGGGGGGGGGGGGGGGGGGGGCGGTGATATGCTTGCGCGCCGGGCCCTGACGTACTCCGAGGTTGTGTAGTAGAAACCCGCCCCCTCCTCTTCGTCTCTTCTAGGTGCACTTCCTCCCTCCCCCCCTCCCCAAACTTTTTGAAAGACATCAGCTAGAAAAGAAAAGGGCGCTTCCCCTCCTCCGCAACCCTGACTTGCCTTTTTGCGCATCTAAATTAAGTCCCGGGCTAGTCTTAAACCCCGGGTGACGGAGGCCACCCCTCTCCCAGCAGGTGGAAACAGCTTCTATTCCCTCCCCTCTCCCCCATTCCCGAGCTTTCCTTAAACGGTGCTTTTTCTGGCAGACGTTGCCTATGGACCAGTGACTTGACATTTGATCAGATGGGAGTGAAGCTGCTTCTCTTAGTCACCCCAAATCAGATGACTTTCAAAACAGTGGCACTTGGCATGTATTGTTCTAGCTAGTGGCACTGGGTTGTAACCATGACGTTATGGCACTGTGTAATTAACAGATAATTGCTGGGGGGGAAGGAAGGTTGTTATAATGCTCATTACAATTTATCAAGGGATTCCTTCACCTGCTACTCAGTTGCCACTAATTTCTGTCCTCTGTAGGTTAAAGTTGCAAGTTACTAAGAAACTGATATTAAGGGTTTCTTTAACTGTATTACAACCTTTATGGGGGAGGCCTTAGCAGTTTGGCTGTAATGTTGGCGGACCGTTTCTTGCTTGGCTATGTCCATTCCCATTAAAAGACTGTCTTTGGCCCACAGTTAAACATAGTTAACAGTTTACACTGGCAGTCTTCATGTATGCTAAACCATAAGAAGCAAACCCCAAGCATGTCTTAGCTGATGGTTTGGTTAGTTCAACATGCTCCAACATGTTTTGGTTAGTTACTTAATCATAGTTTACACTTTGTAGTGTTGGGTGAATTCAGGTAAAATCTGTTTTAAATCTGCTTTTTAAAAAGGGGTCCTATACTAGAACTTTGTGCTATTGGAGCAATTCTTATTTTGTGTAGTTTGAAAGTCTTATAATTCCTATTGGAAATAATTGTTACAGTAAATGTATATACATGTGGTAATATAAAGACGTTTTTTTAGTGCCTTCAGATCAGTATTGACTCTTGGTGCCTTACAGATCAAGGGTCACCAACCTTTTTATTTTTATTTATTTATTTATTTGATTTGTCAATTGCTTACAAGATAATAGGTATAGGTATATACATAGTTATGAATACATGAAATGGGTACATATAAGAAAAATAAAAGAAACAATAGGACAGGGGTGGTAGGCATGTTGGTGCGCTTATGCACGCCCCCTACAGACCTCTTAGGAAAGGGGTGAGGTCAATAGTAGACAATCTAAGGTTAAAGTTTTTGGGGTTTGGGGAAGAAACCACAGAGTCAGATAGAGTATTCCAGACATTGACCACTCTGTTGCTGAAGTCGTATTTCCTGCAATCAAGTTTGGTGTGGTTAACCTTGAGTTTGTATCTATTGTGTGCTCTTGTGTCGTTATGGTTGAAGCTGAAGTATTCATTGACAGGTAGGACATTGCAATGTATGATTTTATATACCATACTTAGATCAGACCAAAGACGGCGTAATTCAAGGTTTTCTAGGTCTAGAATTTCAAGTCTGGTGGCATATGGTATTCTACAACGAGTAGAGGAGCGGAGAACTCTTCTTGTGAAATATTTCTGGACTTTCTCAACTATGCTAATATCAAATACGTAATGTGGGTTCCAGACTGATGAGATGTATTTGAGTATTGGTCTAGCAAATGTTTTGTATGCTCTAGTTAGTAGTGTGATATTACCAGAGAAAAAGCTACGTAGGATTAGGTGAACAACTCTTATGCCTTTTTGGCTATGTAGTTACAGTGGGCTCTAGCACTTAGATCATTAGAGATGAGTATTCCATGGTCCTTTACAGAGCTTGGATCATCAACAAGATCTTGACTATTCAGGTTGTATTTTATTTTCTGATTTTTTTTGCCAATATGTAAGACAGAGCATTTATTTGTTGAGATTTGAAGTTGCCATTTGTTTGACCATTCTGATACATAGTCAAGATCTTTTTGAAGGGTAGCAGTATTGTCTGTGGTATTGAACAGCTTTACATCATCAGCGAAAAGAACGCAGTTGCTCTTAATATGATCACAGAGGTCATTTATGTAGAGTATGAAGAGAGTTGGTCCTAGAACACTGCCTTGGGGGACACCACTATTGACAGGTACAGAATTTGATAGGACACTCCCAATTTTGACCATTTGTTGTCTGTTTGACAGGAATGCTTCTATCCAGTTATGCAGGTGTCCAGAGATACCATAAGATTTTAGTTTTAGGAGTAGTTTGTCGTGTACCACTGAATCAAAGGCTTTACAGAAGTCTATGTAGATTGTGTCTATTGCTTTGCCCTGATCGAGTTGTGTAGCCCATATGTTTTTGTAGTGTAAGAGTTGCAGATTACAGAATAGTTTTTTCCTGAAACCAGATTGTTTATTGGAGAGTAGGTTGTTTGTCTCTAAGTGACTAAAAAGGAATGTGGTGATAGCAAAAGTCTCAGAAGGGACCCTTTATTTTCCTGAACTGTAAAGGTGACAGAGAAAGAGATGTACAGTACTTTCAAACTTGCAATATTATGTTAATATAATCTTACAAAAAAGTAAGTTTAATAGTTGATCAGGGCATTCTTTCTGTCTGGACTACTTCATAAGGCTGATTGTGGGATTCTTATGACTTTTTACTTCTGGGGTTAGGAAAATTTCATCCTTGTCTTAGTACTGGCTAAAAAAGACTGGAAAATAGTGTGGGCTATAGAGAAATCTTGATGCTATTTTATAGTTTTAGTTTTACAAAACACTTTAGAATTATATTACTGAATATCTTTATTTATCTCCCTGGACTTTCTATTATTAAAAATACCCATATGGAATGTGAAAAAAAGTTTTTTTTATTTTATTTTTCAGATTTTAATAACTTTGTCTCATGTAGAGAAAAATGGACACAGTTAACACATATCAATTTACAGAACAATAATTTTGTGTACTATGTAATATGTCATCTGATCAGTATATTGTTTACTGCCATTTTAAAAACTTAGGAATTATTCTGTGGGTATATCTTATATTGATATTTGTACTGCTGTGGTCTGCATTGTAATGAATCTCTTATCCTTTAATTTGGTGTGTGTGTGTGTGTACACACACACACACACACACATGTATCTTTAATTTGATGTATACATATACACATACACTAGTGGTATATGTATTTAGAGTATTATATTTTCATGCCATCTACTTAACATTTCAGAATGCTTTAAAGAATACAACTTACAATCTTTGGTGTGGAAATATGTTTCATGTTTTGATTATAAAAAACTGTTATGCTAAAGTAATAATCTTTGACCTAGCATCTCTCTTTGTAAAGATTTCAATTCAGCTGCAGTTTTATGGGCTTGAATTCCCTTGGTTCCTATTTAATCCACTTTCTATATATATTGATGATGTAAATATAAATTTCCAGAATTCCAAATTAATCTGATTTGTTCATCGCAAACAAATTTAAGATATAATGTGATTTGTTAGGTTTGGCTTAGATTGTCAAGTAAATTTAGCCATTATGGTTTATTAAGCAATGACTCTAGCTTAATGTGATGCTTAAGCCTAGCCAATAGTCATGTATTCAGCAAAGTGTGATTAAATAAAGTAGCCCATAATGGTCTAGATTCATGCATTCCACAATCCAAAATGGAACAAAGCACATTATGGCTTAATAGGTTGTCTGGATCCATCAATATATACACATTTAATAACCAACATATCTAAAATAATTGCTTTTGTTCCTTGAGCATACACTGTATATACAACCTATCTGATGGCCCTTTCTAATATGCTGAACTGATGTGTTAATTTGTTGTATTGATTTCCTGGAACAAGGGAAGTCTTGTATGTATTTGTTTTGGTCTGCTTTCCAGCCAATAGATTGATACATAGCAATAAATAAAATTACATATATAGTTGTGCAATATTGTACAATTAAAGCATTAAGAGTTAATATAGTTTTAATAGGGACAGTTCTTCATTCAATATATGCACATTAGACTGACCTTGCCCACTTTTTCTTTTTCTTTCTTTTTTGCATAAAAATATGCCATTAAAATAGTACTGAAATAAAGTGCAATTGTAAAAGCTTCCCTGAATAATTTCTTAGCCATAATGTAAAAGGGTCCAATTCTTCAATTTGCTGTATTGGTTGAAATTGATTTTGGTTTCTTGAAAAGATTGTATATGCTTAATGTGACCTTTACTTACTAGGGTGGTCCTTAAACTTGGGACAAAGTTTGAACATTGGAGCTAATGGGGAACAACTTGGACAAAACTTTACTTATCAAAGACAGGACAGCTGGATCCAGCCTGTCCTTTTATGATTCAAAAACTTTCACAAACTCCAGGACAATTTTATCAGGTCAACTTCACCAACAAAGTTTTGTTCAAAAAAGGAAAAAAACACATTGCTACCTAAATGGCAATCTTGGAGTTGTCGCATGAAGTGGGAATAGGAGAGCTGTCATAGTGAGCAAGGAATGTCATCCTTATAAAGAGTACCAACCTGCTTTATCTCTCTAGAGATGTGGAATGAATAGATCTTTATAAGCATTTGATGATTTGTAGCCTTGGGCTAAATAGACATGTGTGAACAGATTTCTAGATAAATTCTAGTCTGCTGACTGCCCAGGAGGGAGGGGGCTGTTTTGGGGCCATTGTATTTGACCCGCC